TTGGGCTCACTCTGGACTTTGCACCTGCTCCTGGGAATTCACATGTTACTCCGGGGATGGGAGGGCATGCATCCTGTGGAAGCACTCCCTGCGACTCCAGATATTTTGACGGTTATTCTTGTAGATCCAACGGTTTTTCCCCGAATACCCCCAGATACTGCGTCCCTGGCTCTGAAATTTCAGGGAGACTCTGGGAATACTCTGGGGAGCACAGCAGTAAAGTGCCTTCATTTTCTATTTTTTCGACTTTTGGACTCTCCCACTCTCTCAGTCTTTCCCTGTATTTCAATTTTTGTTTTTTTAATTTTCATATGTTTTTGCTTATCCTTCTGAAGACATTTCTAATTGGATTTGGGATTGTCGCTGTGTCGGTTGGGTTCATTTCCTTTTTGTACAAATCTATACAGTTTATAGAAGAGTATCCTTCACGAGCAAAAGAGAGAATACGCCTCCTTATCTACTCCATATGGGCTTTTCACATAATTTTGCTATTTCGGGGGTTCTCCCTCCTTATAATAGGATTCTCCTGCGTGTGCCTGCTGCTCTTCTACAACCTCCTGGAGGATTACCCGAACATAGAAACAGCAGGTGCTGGGTTTATCACTGCTGTAGCCCTCGCCTTCATCAACCACATGCTCTTCCTTAGCTCCATGCTCAAGAATAGATGCGGACTATTCGAGATATTTTTCTACTTCTTCGTGATTGTTTGGGCTGTTCCCTTCGCATTCTTCCTGAGCTTAACCGCAAACGACGAGATAATAACGATTTCAGGCACGAAGAAGCCCATCCGCAGAACCCTTGCAGGGAAAGTGATAGATACGCTTCTCTCCAGACACAACATATGGGAGGACAGATAGACTTTTCAAGCCCCGAATAATCCGAGTGGCAGTTAAACCCAGAATAACCCAGATACTGAGAGAATAGGAGAGTGCAGGATTAGTGGATAAATGGATCCAGAGCCGAGTAACCGAAGATTCTCCGAGTGTTTCGGAGTGTTTGTTTGCTGTGGATTTCACCTGCTTATATGCACTCCGAATAGTTTCTCCATGGAGGAAAACACGGAAATTGGCGACTTGCAAGGATTTAACGACGTTTACTACCAAGAGTCCAGGCTGAACGGGACTCTCGTGTACACGGGGAAGAAAATGAAGCCAGAGCCGTACGCTAAAGATGGGTACCCAGGGAAGAGCTCAACCTCCTACGAGTACATTACGTATGATGAGCCCTTTTCTGCGCGTACGATCATCTTTAAGGTCCCAATGAGCTACCTTAGAAGAACGAAATAAACATAAATTGCACACTCTCTTGCTTCCATCAGCTGTCCTCCGCCAAGTGCAGAGTCCTCTCTGAAACCTCCAATTAGACCCTTTTCAGATGTGACCAATGACTTTCCTGCCTCTATATAAGAGGGAAAGCCTTCTCTTGCATGGGAATTATTGACAAAATTACGGAAATAGCAAAGAATTCAGAGACGCAGAACAGGAGTACGGAGAAGAAAGACGGAAAAGTGGTTTCAGAAACAGGCTCTGGCAAGGCTACAGAGGAGAGAACTCCCTCTGTGGGACCCACTGCATCAAACTCAGACGCTGCAGCACCTTCTGAGCCCCCGAGGGAAATGGACGTTATAGACAGAATATCCAGCAGAAAATCCCCGGGGAAGGCGATACGGCAGAAGCTAGTTGAAGAGAACTCTGTTGAGCTGCACAGGAGCAGCACGGGAGTGGCTGGAGGCCTCGGACTCTCTGGGGAGATGAAGAAAGTCGTTGATCCAACAGCCTCCAGGGAGAATCCCCCAGAGAAAGATGTGATGTCCCTCGTAAATCGAGGGAGTGAAGCCGTGGATCTTGGGAAAATGACGAGTCTCCAGGGAGGAATAGAGAACAAAATGGGCGCTGAGGATATAAACCGAGGGAAAATACGAGAGCCCGTCCACTCCTTCAAAATAGCAGGCGGAGTTGGCGCTGAAATTGGCGAAAGCATCAAAAGAACGAAGCACACGGACATTCCGAAGGAGCAGGTTAAGCCCCTCGTTGTTGATACGAACTCTGGAAAGTCCCGGAAGGAGCAGAAGATCCCAGAGGAAAAGAGGCAGGACACGTCCTTCGTGGAGAAGAAGAAAAAAGACAAAACCCACGCGGAAAGTGCTGGGTTCGCCCCCAGAGAAAACGCCCAGCCCACACCAGAAAAGGCAGCAGGCACTGCCTCAGCTATTGGAAACTCTACTATTGGTAATTCTACCATGAACAACCCGAATTCTACTATTGGAAACTCTACTATGAATAATTCTACTACTATGAATAATTCTTCTGCTATGAACAACTCTTCTGCTATGAATAATTCTACTATGAATAACCCGAATTCTACTATGAACAATTCAGTTGGTAATTCTACTATGAATAATTCTACTATGAATAACTCTACTATGAATAATTCAGTAGTTGGCAACTCTACTTCTATGAATAACTCAGTAGTTGGCAACTCTACTACTATGAACAATTCTTCTATGAATAATTCAGTTGGTAATTCTACTATTGGAAACTCTACTATGAATAATTCTACTTCTATGAATAATTCTACTACTATGAATAATTCAGTAGTTGGAAACTCTACTTCTATGAATAACTCAGTAGTTGGCAACTCTACTACTATGAATAATTCTTCTATGAATGAGCCATCGATTGTCCGAGAGACGTATGAAAGAACCACGACAGAAGAGGCAGTTCCAATAACCCGGAATGAAGCTGCTGCTTTGGGAGTGGCTGCAGCAGGAGCAGGAGTACTCTCTGCAGGAAGTGGGCGGAGTGATAATCCCGCTGTAAATGGCGCATCTGCACCTGAAATTTCAACTGAAAAAGTACCTGAAACTGCCAGCAAACCTAATCCAGGGCCATCCGATGGAAATTCTGCCTCTTCCAGCAGAAGGTTCGAGACCAAGCCAGAATGCACCGAGACAAGCGGCCTGGGAGTGGACAGGAAGAACGGGGATATACTATACGAGGCTGACTTGTACAAGAAAAAGTACTTCCTCCAGTTTCTGTGGACCAAGAGACACTTCACTCTCTCGAAAGACGGGATTATGAAGTACTACAGAGCCCCCAGCTCAAAAAGAAGGGGGGAGTACGACATAGACGAGTACTTCGTCTCTTTCAAGGGAACTGAGAAAAAGGGAGGAAAATATCCCTACAGAATCTCCCTCGTAAGCGACAAGCAGGACGAGCTGGGGTTTGAAACAAAAGAGGCCCGGGATGAGTTCTTGTACTGGCTAAAAAAGTCCGTGGGGTAGATTGGGTAATAAACTTCATAAATACTTGTTATCTTCGGGTTGTTCGGGTTATGCTAATCTCATGCTAATCACATGTTAATCTATGTTTGTTATTCTCATGGTATGCTAATATCATGTTAATCCCATGCTATTGTTATTCTACGTTAGTATGTTAATCTCATGCTATTCTATGTTATTCTATGTTTGTTATTCTCATGGTATGTTATTGTGATATTATGCTATGCTATTGTTGTTCTACGTTAGTATGTTAATCTTATGTTATTCTATGTTATTCTATGTTTGTTATTCTCATGATGATGCTATTTTTGATATGTTAATCCCATGGTATTCTATGTTATTCTATGTTAGTATGTTAATCTTATGCTATGTTTGCTATTCTCATGCTAATCTTATGTTATTCTCATGATGATGTTATGCTAATATACCACTAGAAGTACTATGCTATGCCAGTACGAGTGCGTGTATGCGGTCTCACAGAGTATCACTTGCATATAAGGAGTCCAGAGAACACGCCCAGAGACATATTGCAATATCTCGCATGCTTTTTTGGCACGCCCTCGCCCATTCGTGCATCCCACGACAGAATTCCCCTGATTTTTTCCAAAGTCTGCAGAAATCCCAGAAGTGAAGACGTAAACTTCTGTTTGGATACTTTTTTTGCTTTTCTATCCACATAAAAAGCAGCTCCAAAGAAAAAAAGAAAAAGATACTTCTCTCTAAGCACAAACAAAACACAATACGATTTATTTGAAAAAGACTCCTCGAGTCTTCCTCTTCATTCTCCACAGGAAAAAGCCCAGAGTCCCTCCAACTGCAACAGCAATCCCACAGAAGACGAAAATGGCCTTTCCCTTTAACTCCTTCTTGCTCGGCGAAAAGTCTGTGTCAGATGATTCTTCTATTTCAAGAACGGGCAGCCATCTTCTATCCGGATTCCGGAGAGGTGATTTGTTCTCAGATCCCGGGCTAGGATCTTCTTCGCTGGAGGCATCGCATATCTCCAGAGGAGGCGCAGTAGGAACTACTTTCGACAACATCTCGTCCAATGTCTTCTCTAGTTTGTCCGCCTGTTCATCTAAATCCCTTATTGCAAGATCTGCTTTTGTGCAGGAATTCGATATAGACTCGAGTCTCTCCCCAACCTTTATCTCTGCATACGGAGTAAACAGGCTGGGATCTGAGGAGTGCATTTGAAGGAGGCACACTATACTGTGGAAATTCCTTATATTCCACATAGACCGATAAAATAGATCAAATCCATCTATAACGGTGATCTTCTCTAGGCCTATTTCTAATGTTTTCAGGCTGGAAATAACATCTTTAGATAGAGCAGACATATTCACACTGCTACGCGGGGAAAGAGACTCAACTGCATCCTTCATCTTCTCCAGTTCCCCCTTCAGAGAGAGAAATTCCTCCTTTTTCCCCGTCTTAGGAAGAAAGTTCAGGGATTCGGCAGCATCCTCGCATAGATATACAGCGGTACAAAGGAGATGCTCTATAATGGAAGTGGACATTGTTTTCTGCATTAAAAAGGAGATGTACATTGGATTGATCGTTTTTCTATTCACAAACATCTGAAACTGTTGTACTTCATTGACTGCCAATCTCATGAATTCGGGACAGAATATCCTTCCAGGCGTATTCTCTCTTCTTAGAAAATTCGCCTTCTCCAAGTAGCACGCGAAAGTGGGAAATCCCTGGAGTATTTCTATTGCTTCCTTGGCTTTATCCAAAGATGAATTCGGCTCATTCTCATATGAAGCTAGTACTGGAGTTTGGGATACGACAGTGTACTCTTGCACCAAATAGTTGGAAAGTACCTGAAGAATCTTCACTGAGTTTTTCAGAACCACCTCCAAACTCTTCAGATCTTCCCTCTTTTTATCCGCGAGACTTGCAGGAATTCCCTCGAGAAGAGACTTTTCCCAGGCCGCAGAGTTATCCCAGAATAGTCTCGGGAGACGGGAAGTTATTGTTTCGAGTGCGGAACCAGTTTTTTTTGACACAGAAGATGCTATTCCCTCCATATACGAGGCATCCCCTCGAATGCCCAGCCACTTTCCTATCGCGACTTCATCCAAGTCTGGGCTATTCATCTCTAGATTCCCCAAAGTTTGGTCTTCAAGCAGGGAAAGTGTGGAAATGCCTTTTTTCTCGCTGGTTGGATCAATTATTCCGCTGAGAACAGGATGAATCTTTAGCATGTGCCTGCTTAGAGCGTCAAGACAGTTCATAATTCGGGATACAACCTTCTCTCTGCCCTCCTTATGGATAATAGCATGATCTTCCAGCGTATTTATCTCCTGGATCAGTACTTTCCAAATGGGACTTAGATACTCCATCTTTGCTGGAGAGGAGTCTTTCTTGTAGACTTCCTGTATGATACGGTACTCATGGACAAGAAAAGTATCCAGGAGAGTCTCAAAGATAGCATCTGCCTGCAAGACAGACTCTGCCGGCGTGAACTTCTTGTTTAGCATCTTCTGGAGGTTGAAAGTCTCCAGAATAATCTCAGAGTATACGCTTTTGGGCTCGCTCAGAACATTCTTAAAACAGTCAGGCTGGCTTTTTCCTGCCCCAATATTCTCCAAAATGCCAAGAATATACTCTTTGTTAAGGAGGCTGGAAATACTTTGCCTAATAAAGAAAGCGTTTTTTGGCATTTCCTCTTTACAGTACTCTCCTACCTTTTGAAAGACAGTTTTCGTGCTTTCTGTGAGGGAAATAATTCGCTTGAGAGTGTTCAGAAAGTTCGTGTACTCCAGTGACTCCTTCTTCTCCTGCGGGGATAAGTTGCTAGAGTCAAACTTATGGCCTCTTCCAATTAATCTGCCCGTAAACCCACTCTGCAGAGTTCTAGAGACAAGATTCCACTTTGATGTCTGGTCCTTCTTCAGTGATAAAATATCAGCTATACCTTGCTTGAACAAATTATCGAAATTTCTTACGTTGGAAAGAAAGGTCTGAACTTGCTCTTGCATTGATTTAGCATCTTTCTCGTCTTGGAACTCTCCACTTTTCGAGTATAAGCCCACTCTTTCCTGCAGTTTCACTGCCCGACTCTCTACCCGCGCAAACGGGCCTTCTGTGGGGGTTACACCGGAATTCCCTGGGGAGAATGGTGTGATAGCGCCTTTTGGAGGGGTCACTGCCTCTGTGGATAGTACCACTCCTCCATATAATAGCACTCCTGTAAATCCCGAGATTCTCATACTCTCCCCCAGAACTCTCTCTTTTATAGTGTATACGGGGGAAATCACCGAATCAAACGGCTGATCTTTTTCGGAGTGGCCGACCAATCGCCAGAACCCTCGAATCCTCCAGAGATAAGCACAGAGGCCCTCCGCAGAGAGATCCGCAGGGGAAAGATGTACTCTTTATCCGTATGCTCTGAATACGTTCCAGCCAATCCCCAGAAGAAAATCCCAAATTATTTACGCAGGAATAAAAGTCTCTAGAAAATACTTTTTTTGTACAGATTCTCTCTAGTTTTCCCTGGGGTTCAAAGGCAGGCAAAACAAAAAGCCAGAAAAGCAAAGAAGAAGCAGTTTCTACAGAAGGACTGCTCTGAAAGTATGCTTTTCGGGTTTATTGTGAGACTTTACACACTCCAGGCCTGCAAATGCACATTTCCCGAATAACCCAAACTCTCCTCAAAAACTCACAGGTGTAATACAGGAAGTTCTAGTGAAATTCACAGCCTTTATTGTTTATTCGAGCTTAAACACTGTGTATTTACTCTATCATTGTTTATAACGTTTTGTCCAAACAAATGTTAATTCATCCAAACAACAACCAATTACGAGCAACTATGCACTCAGTATAAAGCACCCATTTTACCGTTCAAGACTGCAAGGCCTTCAACTACTGCAGCAGATTCGGGTTATCGCTTACTGTATCATTCAAGGATGCAAAGCCTTCAACTATTGCAGTAGAATTCGCAATGTTATCGTTTAGTGTATCATTCAAGGGTGCAAGGCCAACTACTGCAGTAGAATTCGCAATGGTATCGTTTAGACTGGCGAGCCTTTTCATCTCTTCCTCATACTTTATCTGCTTTATGATCTGGTGGTTCTTGTAGCATGCCCTGGCAACTATACAAGTTGCCAAGAGTCCTAGAACTATGAAAATACCTATGATTATTTTTTCATTGCGCTTATGCGGAGTCTTGAACGTCTTCAGCCTTTTCTTCTTCTCATGTGCCGAGACTACAATGTAAGCACACTTTCTCTGAGCAGGGTCTCCAGATGGAACATCAGTGTATACCAAGAGGATATCGTCTGCTCCTTCTGGTTTCTGCACGATGGAACGGACGTTTGTGAATCCAATCGGCTGGGTGTTTATTCTTCCGCCTGCTCCCCACAAGGCAGGCTCATTCCGCAGGGAGTCCTCCTGCTCTGGGTCCATAAGGAAGTCTCCCTCACTGCTCTGCTTTGGATGCAGTGGGCGTGAAGCATTTCTACGCTGCTTCATCTCATATGTATTCTGGTTGTTATTCTGCATTTTTCGTGTAGTGAGTTTATTTCTTATATATTTGTAATTCAAGGCAATTTATCACACTCTGCGAAGTGATTCCGCGCATTTTCCAGAATTTATTGCGCTTTGTTAATGAAAAGCAAAACAGTAAACATATGCACAGAAGAGCAGAAAGTAGAGATTAATTCGGGCTAGAAGTATTATTCTTTCAGTAGAGAGTATATGTTAGAGTTATTATTCTTCTAGTAGAGAGTATAAGTCAGAACATAATTATTTTTCTAGTAGAGAGTATAAGTCAGAGTTATTATTTATCCAGTAGAGAGTGTAATAGAACATAATTATTCTAGTAGAGAGTATATGTTAGAAGTATACATTTCAGTAGAGAGTGTAATAGAACATAATTATTTTTCCAATAGAACTTAATTCGGGTTATTATTTTTCTAAAGAGAGTATAAGTTAGAACTATTATTTATCCAGAAGAACATAATTATTCTTCCAGTAGAGACTATAATAGAACATAATTATTTTTCTAGAAAGCAATATAACTATTTATTCAGCCGAGCTTATAAGCTAGAACTATTCTTCCAGTAAACACAGCGATCTTTCCAATGCAACAGAATCTATCGCACACAAGTAGAAAGCCTCGCACACCCTCCGAAGCCTCTATCCGGGACTATTCTCTGGTCTTTCTCTCTCTATTCGGGGTCTTCCGGGGTCTCTGCGTACTCCGGCACTACTGCGCCCAGGAGGGAGACTTTGCTCGGGTCCTCAGCATCCGGGCGGACAAGCGAATAGTAAACGACGGGAACCGGCCTCTCCGCGCGTATATCCGGAAGGAGCGATCGCAAGCGCACCTCCTCCCCGCGGTGGTAGAACTTTCCGTTATACGCCGTTACGATATTCGAGGAGAGGCACCAGGCGAGTATTTTCCCGCAGGCGACAGCAGCCTCTGGGTCCGTGTTTCTTGCGCTTCGACTGAGCGCCACATCCACCGTGCGCTCCACATCCCGCTCCCTCTCCCCCTCTATTTTTTCAGGTTTCAGGTCATTTTCTAACGGTTTTTCAGGTTTAAAATTTTTCTCCAAACTCTCCGAGAGAACCCGATCCACTGCCCTCATCACGTGCCGAGCAAGCTTCCTCCTATTCCCGCAGGGTGGACTCGGCCTGGAAAGCACTTCAATGTACGTCTTCGTGCCCCCCACACTCTCCGGCACGTACTGGACCCTCCTCGGGCTGTACGTCTCCAAAAAAACAGCAACTCCCAGCATCACCTGAAAGCACTCGAGGGACTTCCCACGGGCCCTCAAAAGGGCACTCCCCAGGACGGGATCAACGGGAAGAGAGAGAACTCTCCGCCCAAATGCTGTGACATCCTCCGCTGTAACTACTCCCAGCCTGCGCAGTTCACTAAGTTCCTCCTGCAGGGCCCTCCTACTTGGGCTCGTGATAAATTTCACTCTCTCCATCCTGTGGGGGCGAACTCCCGCCTTCAAAAGGGCTGTGACCATTCCCTGGACTCTCTCCCTCGCAATTTCCGGCTCTCTCGTCTCCTGCATATTCTCGAACTCTACTGTCGTATATAGTCTGTAGCATACTCCTGGTCCCACTCTCCCGGTTCTTCCCCTCCTCTGATCTGCGCTCTCCCTCGAGACAAGGACCGTCTCAAAAGTGTATGATCCTCTCCCGTAGTCGAATCTCTTCCTGATCTCTCTCCCTCCGTCTATAACGTATTTTACGTCTGGAAGTGTGAGGGAAGTCTCTGCTACGTTTGTTGCTATAATAACGGCGTCTGTACTGCGGAGAATCTCTCTCTGCTCCTCCTCTGGGGTCTCACTGTGCAGGGAGAATACACTCTTCCTTCCCCCCTGCAGGTCACTCTTCACTCTCTCCGTCTCCTCCTTCGTGGAGACAAAAGCAAGGATCGAACCCGGACTCTCCTGGAGCTGTCCGACTCTTTTCTTCATCTCCTGCAGGTAGTCGTACTCTCGCAGGGGGAGATAGTGCATCTCCACGGGGTAAACCTGCGCATCTACTTCGATCCTACTAACGGAAGAACCTGAAATTGCCTCCAAGCACGCGATATACTCCTCCGTAATGGATGCACTCATGAGAACTACGCGGATCTGCGTCTTCCCCACAAGCTTTGCAAGGACGAGGAGAATCGTATCCTGGCAGAGCGATCTCTCATGGACTTCATCGAGGACTACGACGGAGTACTCGGAGAGAAAAGGGTCATCTGAGAGCTCCTGCAGAAGGACTCCCTCCGTCACGACGAGGATCTTCGTAGTACTGCTGCTTCTGCTGTCGTATCGCATCCTGTACCCGCAGACTCCGCCCACTTCCTCCTTCTGCTCCTCCGAGACTCTTCTTGCAATTGCCTGTGCGGAGACTCTCCTGGGCTGTGTGATGCATATTTTCTTCTTCTCTGCAAGGCCGTTCTCGTATAGGAACTGCGGGACTTGGGTGGACTTTCCTGTTCCTGTTCCGCCCGTTATCACTGTTATACGGTGATTCTTCACTGAGGAGACGATCTCATCCTCCATGTGCGTGATTGGGAGGGGATTTTCAACTGTTCTTGTCCTGGAGAGGGCCTTATCCGTCTTTATAAGGGGGACTTCTGGGGGAGTTTTCTGGAGTTTCTTCTCTGCGGCAGTTATTTCTGCGTCTGGGATTCTCCTCTTCTCCGGGCGAGTCCACACGATTCCGTCGCAGAGTTCTTCTGTGGAGACTCTCTGCACGAGCGATGAGAATTCGGCACTTCCCAGGGGCCTGTAAGCAGGGAGGGGAATTCTCTGCGGGAGTTTCTCTGGGGGATTTGGGAGTGCCCGGGACTTTACGGGGGCTTTCTTCCGCGTGATCTGGCTTGATGAGATCAGAGAGTGGGACTTTGCCTCGCTCGAGAGTTTTTGCAGTGTCTTCAGCTTCTCCACTAAAGTATCCCTCTCTTTCTGCCGCTCTTTTTTCTCCAAGTACTTCTCCAAGAGCTTCTTCTTCTTGTTTCCCATAGCGTGAAAATTCTGCAGGGAAAAATTCCGGAAGCTTTAAGTTTCTAGAAAAAGCAAAAATCCCGTCTGGTAAATTCTGCGTCTATAAATGAATTATTTTTTTGCGATCACTATGAAGAAAACCCCGACCCTTTTGAAGCAGGTTCCCAGGGCATGCGTAAAGAGACAAGTCCCTGAAGCGTGGCAGGATATGCACCACTACGAGGAGGAGACGACTGCAGAGGAAGAAACCCGGCTCTTTAAGGAGATACGGATGCAGCTAAAAAACTGCAGCATAGAGACGACAGTTTTCAAGAGAAAGACTCCGAGCAGCTCCACCCGGGTACTGTCTAACATGTGTTTGTACAGTGCGTTTAGCAGGGTTATATATTTAGTGGAGACAGGCACGGGCTTATTTCCTCTGGAGGCGTACTCTAAGGATCTTCCTCTTATAAACCGTAAATCTATAAAGAAACCCAGATACACTTTTAAGTCTCTTACGCCTAAGGCCATTTTGAGCGACTCCATGAAGATAGCTGCTTCGATATACGAGGTAGAGGGGAAGTACCTGCGCAGGGGAGAGGCATACATATCCCAGAGAGTCCCACTTCTTGCAGGGCTGCGCATTCTTAATAGGCTCCTGCTTATTTCCGTGGAGATAAATAAGCCTGTTTTGGACCCGGAGAGTGTCTACGTGCAGGAAGAAGGCGGCGTAAATGCGCTGTACATCCCCGTGGAGAGACTGCACGTGGAGACTATGGAGTATAAGATATTCCTGGCAGGTCTGGTTATAAACACACACACTGTCATGGAGAGAGTTGAAATTGTCAAAAACATCCTCCAGGGAGGAGAGACTCAGAAAGAAGAGCACAGAATATTGAAGTCAGTATACGCAGCAATGGCAAGCACAGAGTGGAGCAAAAAGTACTCTGAGATATCTGGCAGCATTGTACAGTATATGGGAACACCTCAGTAAACAGCCACAGTATACCAAGCTAGAGAATAGCGTAGCACCAATAAATGAGTATATGAATCAACTACAGGAAAGCCCAGAGTAAT